AAGATACATCATGTTCAGGTACAAGCACCCAATGATAAATGTAAACGAATTGCATACCTAAAATGTACCAATAAAAGACCTACAAACAAACAAACAAAACAAAACAAAAAACCAGAGGGCAGCAGCATAACTCGCTGCAGCGATGAGGGCCGGTATTTTTATATGAAGTACACACATCGGAACTCAGAGAGGCGTTCCCGGCTGCGCCGCACCTCCTGGCCGGGCTTCAGCCCCGCGTCCAGACACACAGAGGGAGGGGCTGTGGGGCTCGGCGGGACCTGGGCGCGCGCCCCCGAAGTCCTCGCCGGAGACCCGCCCCGAGCTCGGGAAGGCGCGCGCCCCTGTAAACCGAGCCTTGGTGCAGGCGAAGACAGGCGCGCGGGGAGGAGCCATCCGCGTGGGCGGGGGGAGCTGCTCCTGCGCGTACCGGAAATGCCCGTGAGCGAGGGAGTGAGGGGCGAGGGAGGGCACGCTACAGGATTGCTGTCCTGACCCTGCACCAGCTCCCCACGAGGAATGCGACCATTAGGCACTGCGAGGCTGAAGCTCGAGGGTCGCTGCGAGTTCGAGGCCAGCCTGGGCTACACGGCAAGACCCTGGCTCAACCAAAAAAACCTCCCACCTAGCTCAGTGCAGAAGTGGGAGCCGGACCACGCAGGCACCAACACGCTACACTCAGTAGTCCAGGGTTTGTAGAATGAGGCGCGAGGACAGGCGGAGGCCAGCACTGCTGAGGAGTCCGCCAGCCAGGTGTGCAGCTCCGCGGGTTGTAGCAGCCAAGTCTGGAGGGGCAGCAGTGAGATTAGTTCTAACTCCATAGATCGGAGAGTAGCTCAGCATGTACAAGCGATTCAGAACAATTATTTATTGTTCGTTTGAGACAGGGGTCTTGTGTTGCCTTGAACTCGGGACCGTAGGTTCGCGCCTCCCCGCCTGGCTGTGAAACAATCATGAAGTATTAAGTTTTTCGACCAAGGCTTTGACGCCTTGTAGTGTATGTTTGCGGGGCATCTGCTTTTGACTGGCCACATGCAAGTGCTCAGCGGCCACATGTGGCCAGCAGCTACGTATCAGATGGTGCTGATTCCCATGGAATGAAACCAGAAGTGCGGAGAAATAGGCTTAGGCGGGGATTCACGGGGAGGGGCGGCTGCCCGACTGCCCAGCGGCAGGCCAGCGACCGGCCCGTCCCGCTCAGCGCTCTTCCTGGGCAGAGCCAGCCAGATTCTGGGTGTTCTGGTCAGCGTGAGGTGTCGCTGCCACCTGGAGTAGCGTGCTCACCTGGTCCACGCTGACAGGCTGAAGTGGGCTCCTTGGATATGGGGCATGGTGCGAGTTGTGGAACAAGATAGGCGATCGGGCCCCAGGCCTGGTGGTGGGGTGTGTCCTGGCCTTTCCTGTAGGGAGAAGGGCTGGAAGAGAAAGATAACCCAAGGGAAAGGAGCAGAACACGCCAGGTGTGGTGCTGGGTGCCTGTAATCCCACCTACTCAGGAGGCTGAGACAGGAGACCTTCGAGTTCAGGTCAGCCTGAGCAACTTAGGGAGACCTTATCTCAAAATAAAAAGGGCTAGAGGTGCCGTCCGTGGTAGAATGCTTGCACATGTGTGAGCCACTGGTTCAATTCCCAATACTACCATTAAAAAAAAAAGAAAAGAAAAGAAAGCTCAAACAGCTCAAAGAGAGACATTTTAGTTCCTGAGTTTCATCTTTTTGTTGTTTTTGCAGTACAGGAGATCGTACCCAAGAGCACTTTATCCCTGAGTTACAGATCCAGCCCTTTTTATTTTCTGAGACAGTCTCCCTACATTGCCCACGCGAAACTTAAGTTCATAATCCTCCTGTCTCAGCCTCCCTAAGTGCTGGGGTTTCAGGTGTGTGCCTCTTGCCCAGCGGCCCATCCTTTAAACCCTCTTGGGGCGCAGAGTGGCTCCGTTCTTCCTTGGGAAAGCAGCTTTTTCCTCTCTGCCTCTGCGCCTCTGGACGGGGCAGTGCAGCGGGCCAGAAAAGAGACCTCGTCAATCCCTGGCCGGTCCGCCCCCTGCGCCAACGTTGCGGGCCACGGCCGCCCCCTGCCGGCGGGTGGGGGGAGGAAGCCTCGCCAATGCGCCCGAACGCGGCTCCGGGGAGGCGTCCGGGTTACTGGAACCCCCGGGTTCTTCCGGAAGCGGACCTTCAGGTCGGTGAGCGGCTTCCCAGGGCCGCAAGGCGGACTCAGGTTTCAGGGTGCTCCCTCGGTACCCCTGGGAGGCCAGCGCGGCCTGTCTGGTGGGCTCTCCTGAGGACGCGCGAGGGACCCGGCGGGCCGGCCAGCTGCGGGAGAGAGCTTGAGGAGAGCCAGTTTCGGTGGCATTTGGTAGTAAATTCTGTAAAATATTTTGGTTTAGTTTGTGACTTTTTATTAATTTATGTTTGTTTGTTTTGCAGTACTGGGGATCGAACTCGGGACCTTTAGCTTGCAAGGCAGGCGCGGTGGCATTGAGCTAAATCTGCGGCAGTTTGTGACTTTTTGTAAGAAATTGTTTCTAATATGTTGCATTTCTACTTGAGAAAAGTGCCCGTCAGGCCTCAGGGTTGTGAGCCCTGCTGCTCAGGAGACACAGAGGGCACCGCTGACATTCTATGCTTTTCAATATGCGTGTTTCTTTTTTTGTTTTTTTGTTTGCTTTTTTGACAGGGTCTTGCTATATAGCCCAGGCTGGCCTTGAACTCGCAGCAATCCTCCTGCCTCAGCCTCGAGTGCTGGGATTGCAGGTGTGCACCACGATGCCCAGCTCGATGGTTTCTGATGCTGAGGACTTGTTGGGTAGCTGTTAAGGTGCCAGAGCTGATACATGAGTAACAGGGCCCTTTTCAGCAGAACCGGTTAGGACCTGATGCAGGGCTTACCAATTGGGGCTGATAGATGTGGGCTTTTTCAAGGCTGAAGATACAAGTCTTAACCACAGAGGAACTTAGTTTCCCAAAAAGAAAATGAGTCCTGGCAGCTATGGCATGCACTATGTGCATTTACAGTAGCTGTTTTGTGTACTGTAGTGTCAACACTTTAAAACTGGATGTTTTACATCCACAAGCGCTCGGGAGTCTTCTCGTTAAGGTGTGTGTAATTTTGAGTCCAGCCAGTTTTCTGCTAACTAGAGTGCAGCTTGCTTCACAGCAGTGAGGTGCTGTGTGGATTCCTTGCGTAAATCCTCATGCTGCCACGCTAACCGGCTGTCCAGCCAACCCTGCCCACTAACGGGGGTTGTGTTTATAAGGGCTCCCGAGAACAAGTTACTAGTGTTCTAGTTAGCGCAGCTTTTCCTCGCGTTGTGGTTGGTCTCATAATCAGGTTTTCTTCTCTACTAAGAGGAAACAACAGCTTGTTCTCTCCCGGAGTTAGCGGGAACGTGGAGGGGGGCTCACGCTGCTCCCCGCTTGGACCTCTGCCAACTAAGATGGCCTTGGGCTCCGTCCCACCTGGTGATTGTCCTGGGAAAATCCCTTTTATGGAGACAGGCTTCCAAGTGATTTTAAAATTTATCCTACTGAGTTCTTGTTTTAAGGTCAGTCAGTTATGTATGCTGACTAAATTTACTTATAAACTTGTTTGTCAAAACAAACCAAACCAAAAACCTTTTTAGGTGGTCTTCCGGCTGCCTCCTTCAGGGCCAGGGCGCAGGCTCCTTCGAGTCCAGTCCAGTCCTCCCTTCTGCTGCCACACGGGCATGTGGAGCCCTGTGCCCCAGGGCTGCGTCTCACTCTCCCCTCTGGGGCTGCCTGGCGAGGACGCCACATGGGCAGGGACCCGGGCCCTTCCCCACTGGCTTCTCAGTGCTCCCAGGGTGAGGCAGCCTAGAGCCTCTCCCTCAGGCTAATCGCTGTGTGGCCAGGCCCGGCCACTTCTGGTGCTGTGGAGAAGTGTGGGCAGGCCACAGTGGGCAGTGTTTGGGGCCCTCCAGACAGCACAGTGGGGCGGGCCCTGGAGTCAGTCATGGGGCTCTCGGGCCGAGGCCCCTAAAGCAGCACAGCAGGGTCCGGGCAGCAGGCACTAAAGTCAGGGCAGAAATGCGGGGGCCTGGGGCTCCACACACACTCAGCAGACTTCAGGCCGCATCAGAAAGTCAGCCAAGTTGGCTCCAGCATCATTTATTATGAAACAAAGACAATCGATGTATAAAAGGTCCCTGACAGCCCCGGGTATACCTGCAGTGGCCGGCAGCACTCAAAGGCCCTCCCTTGGGTGCTGGCTATGGAAGGGGTCAGATTCGGAGGTCCCCGGCCAGAAGGGCGCTATACCGGGCAGGGGTGAGGGGCAGGTAGGCACCCGCAGTCTGGTCCAGGACGTAGAGCGGGTCACACAGTGTGCTCGGGTCAAAGCCCTCGCTTGCCATCCGAACCTTCTGCTGTTTGAAGGTCTCAGTGGTGGCCAAAGACTCCTGGGGAGAGGGAGGAGGTGGAAAGAGCTGAAGGAAGAGAGCATCTGTCCAGTCAGTTCGGGTGAGTTGCTTACATTTCACTAAGGGGCAAATCTGGGGCAAGGGGGCCTTCGGTGAGGCATGCGGGAGGTGCAGGGAAGAGAAGGCGCCAGGCCAGAGGAGGGAGCCAGGAAAGGAGGCAGGAGAAGCACATCTGGGGAAGAACTACTCTGGCCCTCCCCAGGACACGCTATTCGGGTGGTCCTCGTGGAGTGGGGGTACAAGGGCTCAGGGCAGACAGTCACCTGAAGCCGTAGGAACCGAGGCCGTGCATAGGGCGGCAAGTTCTCAAACACGTGGGCGTAGAGCTGCCCGAGATCCAAAGCGTGCGGCGGACGCAGAACCAAGGCTGCCATTCCAGCCCTGCCTTCGTGTCCTGGCAAGCGTGGGGCGCTGTGAGCTGCTCTGGCGGCACCAGGAGGCCTCGCTTTGTGTGCCCCAGCGCTACCAATGGGGTGGTGGGCTGCACACCTCCCCACTTCCGCGCTTAGTCACCTGGCACAGGAACTCCGTAGATGTTCACCTCCTGAAGAAAGTCCAGGGCTTCGAGGATCTCTGCCACCTCAGTTGTGGCCACATTCTCCCCCTTCCACCTGTCGGAGAGCAGAGGGCTGAAACCAGGAGCCAGGGGCCAGGGCCTGCGAGCCTGCTGGGAGCAGCTGAGGTCGGGGAGGGGAGTAACCGCGCATGAAGACAGAGACGGAGAGTTCGGAGGACCCGGAGGGCTGAGCAGGAGGCAGACGAGGGAGTGGAAGTCAGGTCTGGCTCGGAGACCACGTGTCCAGGAAAAAGAACCAGACAGTTCGGGGCGATACCTGAAGGTGTCCCCCGTCCGGTCATGGAAGCGCAGGAAGCCTTGGTCATCGCAGACCAGCAGGTCCCCCGTGTTGAAGAACACGTCCCCAGGCCGGAAGACGTCCTGCAGGAGCTTCCCCCGGGCCAGCTCCGGGCCCCCCGCGTAGCCCAGGAACGGGGACTGCTGGCTCACGGGGGCCACCAGCAGCCCTGGCTCACCTGGCAGAGCCCCTGCGGTCAGGAAGGGCTGCCCGCCTCCCCCGGCCTACTGCATAGTTCCAACGCTCCTTCGCCAGCTCGCTCACCCCTCCCCACTGCCCACTGCACTGAGCACAAACCTGGGGATGCGGCCACGCAGCGCCCCTGGACATCCCGAACTGGCTCCCCGGTGGCGGCGTCATAGCGGATCAAAGAGAAGGGGAAGAGGTGCTGGGGGCGGGGCCAGCCTGGGTCACTGCGGCTGCCACCGCCCACCCCCACCAGCACCCACTGCTCTGCGGGCTCCTCCCGCTGCGCTCACCCTGTACAGCCAGGAAGCGCGCCCCACGGCCCCCCGCTGCCGGGTGTAGTTGAAGGTGGCCACGTTGCCCTCAGTCAGGCCATAGGTCTCCAGCACCTGCAGGGGCCCAAAGCGCCGCACGAAACGCTCCCAGGTATCAGGGCGCAGCCCGCTGCCCACTGCCAGCCGGATCTTGTGGCCTCGTTCCGCCTGGTTCTGCATGGTAGGCGGGGCGCGACCTGAGGCGCCAGCTCCCCAAAGCGCGGCCCGTGACGCGAGCCCTTCGTCCACACTGGCAGAGGGGCCCGCCTCCCCCTCCCCACCCATGGCCCTACCCGGCCGTCAGCTGCCCACGCACCGGGGGCTGGTTGACCAGGAACCGGCACAGCTCGCCGATGTACTGGAACACTGTCACCCTGTGCTGCTGGCAGTCCTCCCAGAACTGGCCGGCGGAGAACTTGGGCTTCAGTACCACCGTGGCCCCTGCGAAGGGGAAGGGAAGGGAAAGGCACGGGGTGCTCCACCGCCTCCTCAGCCGCGCCTTCACTGCACGCGGCTCCCTGGGAAGGGCCTGCCGAAGAGCTGCCCCTGCCAAGGCCACGCCGGCCCTCCTTCCACACCCGGGCCTCAATACTCCGTCCCTCTGCTGGGGCCCTCGAGTCCCCTTTCCTCCCTGACTCTTCCTGGAACGACACGACCCTCCCTCCTTCTGGAGTTGTGACTGGTGTGGTCCCTCTGGTTGCCTGGGTAACGCTTCCCTGCACCAGGAGCTCCTAGGGTAGCCCTGCTTCCTCCTTCCTCTGGACCCTCCACCCCGAAGGACTCAGGGCTCGGGACACCCCAGAGAGGCAGCCCTTGCTGGAGGAGGCAGGGCGGGGAGACTGACCGATGCCCAAGCATCCCACGATGCCCAGCAGGGAGCCGGACATGTGGTAGAGGGGGAGGGCGAGGTAGATCACGTCTTCCGGGCGGACGCCACACAGCTGGTAGAAGCCCTGGCACTGCAGCACCTTCAGATGACTGATCCGAGAGGCCTTGGGGAGGCCTGCGGGGCGGCGGGAGGTTAGGGTCGGGACGTCTGGGCGCGACGCCCGGCGGCGCAGCCTGCTGGGCGTCCCACGGGGAGGCTGAGGACGGGCCAGGCTGGTCCGGGAAGCAGGCGGGTATGGGGAGGGGGAGGAGGAGCGCGGGGAGGGGAGAGGCGTCGCGGGCCTGGCACCCTCCCTGGGGCATCTGGATGGGCGGCCCGGGAGCCGCTGGGCGAGGCCCGCACCCGTGGTGCCGGAGGTGAAGATGTACAGGCACGTGTCCATCACGCTGCGGGGGGCGGAGAGGCAACCCGGCACCGGCTCCTCCGCTTCGGCCGCCGCCTCGGCCAGCACGTCGTGGATTCCAGCCTCGGGGGTTTCAAGCCCTGCAGCCCACAGGTGGAGCCCCAAGGCCCTCAGGGCCGGCAGGTCTGGCTCCAGCGATTCCAGGAACTCTGGAGGGTTGGAAAAGCACAGCTCCGCGGCTCTGCACGCCGCTGCCCTAGCCTCGAGCCCCTCCGCGCCAGGGCGGTTGGCGGTGACCGGCATGGCCACCCCATCCCAGCCCGGAAACCCGGGGAAACCGGGCTCAACTCCTCGACTGGGCCGCCGCCGCCCTGCACTTACCTGGCGCCAGCACCAGCGCGCGCGCGCCGCAGCTTCGGAGGCAGTGGAGCAGGGCGCCCCGGCGCAGGGCGGTGGGCACGAAGGCCGCGCGCAGGCCGGCCTTGGCCAGCCCGAACCAGAGCCATAGGAACTCCGGGCTGGAGGGGAGGAGCAGCGCCACAGTCGCCCCGGGTGCGAGCGGGGCCGCCGCTGCGCCTCCGGCCGCCCCGCCGCCGCCGCCACGCTCCGCAGGCCCCGCGCGCCAGCCCCGCGCACGCAGGAAGGCGCGCGCCGCCCGGTTACTCGCGCGCTCCGCCTCCGCGTAGCTGAAGCGCCGTTTGCCCTGGACGAGGAAGGTACGCGCGGGGCGCTGCCGAGCCAGCTGTGCCAGGCGCCAGGCCAGGCTGCAGCCACCCTCGGGACCCTGTGGGTCGGCGGCCGCCGCGGCCAGCGCGCGCGCTCGCAGAGCCCTTTTGCAGCGCATGGCGCGCACCACGAAGGCCAAATCCGCCGCGAACCAGCGCAGCTGCGGCCAGAGGCGCAGCCTCAGCAGCAGCAAGGGGAGCAGCAAGAGCGCAGACAACAGGAGCAGGGCAGCCATCGCCGCCTCCGCTCGCCCCCAGCCTCCTCCGGAAAGGCGGCCCCCACCCGCGGCCTGGTCTCCGCCCCGCCCCGCCTGCTGTGCTGGTCGGGTCAGCCCGCCTTTTCAAGTCCCTCCTCCCGTGCTTCAGACTTGCAGTCCGAGACTCAGGGCGTTGGACTCCAACGCATCTCTCTCTCAGTAGCTTTTTCAGCCGTAATAGAGGGAGGGTTTCCAGAGAGATCTTCGTCCCTGGCCCTTTTTTTTTTTGGAGGGGAGGCCAGGGTCTTGGTATATAGCCCAGCCTGGCTTCGAACTCACAGCGATCCTCCTGCCTCAGCCTCTCGAGTGCTGGGATTACAGGCGTGCACCACCACACTGGGCCCTATTTGTTTCTGCAAGTCCCAGCTCCATAATCAAACGCATGCTCTCCCTCCAGCTGCCAGCAGCAGCAGCAGCAGCAGCAGCTCCCTCAAGGTATGGGCAGAGTTGAGTTGGGGAAAAGTGGCTGCCCAGATAGGCAGACTTCTGGAGGGGCCACATGGCAGAGGACCCTCCCTTTGAGCAAAGGGTCAGTAACTGGGGCAGCCAAAGAATGCTTTCCAGACTAGATTTAACTGAACAGAGGAAACAGGAAGCAGAGGAAGGAAAAAGAGGCCTGTGGTGGCTTAGACTTTCAAAGGGAGGAAGGAGAGGACAGCCCGGATTCTGGGGCGAGGCCAGCCTGCAGTGCAGCCCACCTTCACTCCCCAGAAGCCAGCGGGAGGCGCCCTCGGCCTGGCATCTGCACTTTCCCCAGGCAGACCCGCTCGTAGCCCCGCGCCTAGGGCGGTGAGCAGGCGCCTGACGGCTCCTAGGAGGACCGGACTGGGCCTCGGGGGCGGGGGCAGACAGTGCCAGCCTCCACGCACCTGTGGACAGGCCAGCGCCTGGCTCACAGCTCCTGGTAAGGACGGGTGGGCGGGCAAAGTCGCGCCCTGGGTAAAGGGGTCCGGGCGGGGACAAAGAGGGAGACACAGGCCACAAGCGGGCGCAGTGACGCTGTAGCCGTCTGTGCTGCACAGGGCAATGCGGGTAGCACTCTGGCACACAGACGTTCTGGCTTGTTTTATTTGTCATTTAAAACCAACTCTTAAAACGCGATTATCTCTGGGGAAAAAAAAAGGACCAGAAAAAATGAAAACGCCCAAACAGAACCAGGGAAACGAGGCCATTTCACAGTCCTGAGGCGCTTGCCCGGGACTCCCCGGACGCTGGCCCGGCTTCGGGCCATTTTGGGCCGCCCCCGCCTCCCTCTCAGGTCCCCCCTGAAGGCTGCGGCACCGACCGCGAGGGGGGGCTCGGAGCCAGCGGTTCTGCCCTCACCTTGGGCGTCCCGCCCCGTAGCCCTGGCTGAGCGGCTCCTGGGAGCCCGGGGCGGGCCCTGCGGTGAGGACCCCAGGGCGCGGTGGGGAGCGGCCGGACAGGAGGGGCCCCAGGAAGCAGCTCTTGAGCCGGGAGGGAGGGCGTCCCTGCACGTGCCGCCCGCCCGGGACCCCGACACCCCCCCCATCCCGGGCAGGAGGGCTGTGAGGCGGAGGGGGGGCGGGGGGCGGCGGCGGCCTCAGTCACTGTCAGAGCCCACCGCAGAGGACCCTTTCCGTTTGCGCTTGGTGGGCTTCGGCTTTGTGTCTTCCTCCTCCTGGAAGAGAGGGGAGAAGCAGGGGAAGTCGCCAGCCTGGACCTCAGCCGGCTGCACTGCCTCCCGCGCACTGCGGGCACCACTGCCGCTGCCCGGGCTTACGGAAGCGCTGCTGGAGCCCGACTCCTCCTCAGCGTTGGGGGGCTGGGCGGCACCCTTCCGGCTCCGAGGGCTGGACAGGGCCGCCTTCCTGCGGCTTTTCGGTGGCTTAGAGGAAGAGTCCTCGTACTCCTCGGCCAGGGAGAAGAGGTCGCTGAACCTGCAAGCAAGGACCCGCGGCGTGAGCGGCCTGCTGACCCCTTCTCCCTCCCTCCCAGCCCCAGCGGCTGCTCGCCCCGGCCGTCTCCCCAGCACTTCTCGGGGCTCAGGCAGGAGAAGCCTCACTTCATCTTGTGGGCTTCGTCGCAGCTGGCCTGGACGTGCTGCAGGGCCTGGAGGATCGGGGTCTGGTTGAAAACTGGAGGGGTGGGAAGGAAAAGCAGTGAGCCCGGGGCGCCCGGGGCGCCGCCCCGCCCCGCTTGGGGGCCCATCCAGGAGCCAGGCGCCAGGCCCACTGGGAGCCCCGCCAGAGCCGGCAGGGCAGGCGTACAGTTCTGCTTGGTGTTGCTCAGGTTGAGCCGCAGGCTGTCCAGGTGCTCCAGGATCTGCTCCAGGGTCAGCTGGGCCAGCTTGCTGCTGGAGCTCCGCAGGCTGAGGAGGCAGGAGAGGGGCTGATCGGGGAGCTGAGCGAGCGAGCCACCGTGCTCCCCCACCAGATGGCGCCACAGACCGCGCCGCGCAGCTCCGCCACCCAGGGCTGGGTCCAGGGGCCAGGCCCCACCTCTGCCTCTTCCGGGGGAGGCTGTTGTTCTTGATGAGCAGGGACTTGATGTGCTCAGCCAGCAGCTCGTCGTGCCTCAGGCACCAGTGCCGCAGGATGCTGGTGGTGAACTGGTCGTCGGGGTGGCACGGCCGGCTCAGCACCATCTTCACCATCTCCTCACTGGGCCTGGGGAGACGCGCGCCCTCAGACGCCCCGAGTCCCTCCCGCTGCAGCTTCCCGCGCTCAGCCTTCTCCCCTTCCCTTCGGGCAAGGAATGCCGGGTTCCCTGCCCTGCTGAAGCCAGGCGGCGAGCAGTGAGCCGCCTCCGTTCCCGGAGTGGAAGCTGTGCCCTTGTGCCGGGAAGGAGACCCGCGGGGCCCGGCCGCCCCCGGAGCCCGAGCCAGCCTGGCACCAGGCCCACGGGCGGCAGGAGAGGGCTGCGGCCCGCACTTCCCACGCGGCCTCCGGACTTCTGCTGCTCTAGGACACCGCACTGGTGTCTCCTCTCCGGCAGGGGCGGGCGGGAAAGGTGGAAGGCAGGCAGGAGGCGGGAAGGGAGACGGCTGCTGCCGTTTACTGCGGATGCTAAGGTGCCCGTGACGAGGGACCTGATGGCTCTCAGGCACTGTGCCCGCCCTCTGCTGGGCTGGGGCCGGACAGGAGTGACCCTGACTGACCCTGACTTCCGCCTCCCCACTACCTGGCTGTGCAGGAGCGTGGGGCGGGCGCGCTGGGCCTGGAGCTGCCGTGGCAGCAGCACACAGCCATGCCCGGCCCCCTTCCTCACCTCCGTGGGCAGCTCCTGGTGGGCAGGAGCAGCCAGAAGAAGCCCAGATGCCAGGGGAGCTGCGTGCTGCTAAGTCACTCTGGGTGAAGGGCAGAACAAGCAGACGCCAACGACAGGAGAAGGGAAGAAAGGGCCAGGGAGAGCGGGACACAAGGCCCCAGTGCGCCCCTCTCGGTGTGTGGACTCATGGCGAGGGCCGAGGGCCGGGGGTGGAACTCACTTCTCCCTTCGGAGCTGAAGCAGCAGGCAGGACAGGGCCTCTGGGTGCTCTGCGGGGGACGGGAGAGGCTGTCCAGGGGGCACCTCTCCCACCCCTGCCAAGCCCCTGGGAGAGCAAGCACAGCCTTGGACCGAGAGCCAGGGAGAGTCCCGGCCTGCGCCCCAGCCTAGCAGGTGGCTCAGCGCTGGCGGCGGGGCTCTTGGGCGGCCTGCTCTGCCTGCGGGTGTTGGGGACCCAGGCCCCAGTCGCCTCAGCTCCGCCCCGGCTGGACGCCCCGAGCTGCAGCTCTACTCACCCTTGTACTTGAGGTGCTGCAGGATAGGGATTATGGTCTCCAGGGGGATGTTGTGGGCCAGGAAGAGCTGCCAGGCACAATACTGCTCGAAGGTCTCCCAGTCCAGGCTCTGGACTGGGAGGAACAGAAGAAACCTCTCGTTCTCCTCTCCCGCATGCACATGCCCGACTTCAGCACAGCTGACCCACCGAGGGCGTGGCACCCCGGCAGGGACGGCACAGGGCTGGTGGCAGTGGCCCAGGCGTAGAGCCTCTCCCTCCCCACATGCTCCCTCCCTCCCAGGCCTCAAAGGGCTTCCACGTTCCCACTGGCCCCAAGGCTGGAGGGATGAGGGCAAAGCTTCCATTTTCCAGGACAAGCAGGACAGAGAACGGGCCCACGACCACACAGCGGGGTGGGTGGTGCTCTGCTCCACTTCCCAGGCCAGAACCAGCTTTCCTGTTACCAGAAAGCACACAGGGCTGCTCTCCCTGCCTCTCCTCTCCCAGGGACCCGAGAGGCCAGGCCACTTACTGAGTATGTTGAGGACCGAGTCCTTCCGAAACATGACCAGGTTCCCCATCATCACATGGCAGACCAGCTCCTGCAGCTATGGAGGGGCAGGGACACAGCAGACCTCTTAGCCCTAAAAGGGCCTGAGGCCAGCGAAAGGGGAAGGCTCAGCACACTACGAAAGCGGGTCTGAGGACGAAGGGGCTGCTGCAATAGCGACAGGTCTAACTGGGACCTACGGTCGCGTGCGGCAAAACGGCTATGAAAAGCTGCCAGCGCCTGGTGACAGAGGGCACCAGAGCCTGAGGAGCCAGGAGGGCCTGAGGAAGCTGGGCCCTGAATTGGGGTGGGCAGGGAAAGGCAGAGGCAAAAGCAAAAAGGAGGCTTTTCATTGCTTGGTTCCTCTCTGAGTGGAGACTGAGTGGATGGGAGAAGAAATGGGGTCCCAGTCCAGGCCTGAGATGGACCTGAGCAAAACTGCAATCTTTGGGGCCTCCGCATGGTGAAAGGTCAAGTGGAAATGATCCAATTGTTTCATTCTGAGGCCAGGGAAAGGTCAGCTGAGACCTAAAAACCGGCTACCTCAGCTGTCCCCGAGGAAGCAGGAGTGTCCGAAGACCATGGAGGACGAGGGAGGCTCACAGCATGAGCTGACCCCGCCTGCCTCCCTCCCCCTGGCTCACGTTCCCTTCCTGCCCCCAGGCCCTATGGTGCACCTGAGGGTGGCCAGGAGGTGGGGTCTGTGCAGTCTTTGCTCCTGTCCGCAGGCTGGAGAGAGAGCAGAGCCCCGACCCCTAGGCCTGTCTTCAAGTGTCTGGGATGACAAAGCTCAAGATTCACCTGTGCAGAGTCAATAACAGCCACGATCATGTTCAGCAGCTCCCCACTCCTCAGGGTTTCATCTGGAAACTAGACAGAAAAGGAGGAAAACCAGGGCAGGGACTCAGGGCTGAGCCTTCAGCTTCCACCACAAGCTCAGGGGCTGGCGGGGCTGGCAGGAGGGACCCCAAGCGAGTCCCTCCAGAGACCCAGCAGCTGTGGCGATGCTCATCCTGCCCTCATCACGGGCACCTGTGCACGCGCACATGGCATGCAGCAGAGGAGTGGGCTTCAGGGGGAGGCCGGAGTGGACGGCACTGGGTGACGGTCAGTTCTCTGTGGGAGTGTCACAGAGCACGACATCCCTGCAGCAGAGAAATCCACCCTTGGCGCCTCCCAGCCAAAGAAGGTGTGGAGAGCGTCTGGGGGTGGGCAGGCCCTCACCGCCCTCCCTCCACTCCTGGCGGGGTCAAAGCTATGCAGTCAGGGCCACACTCTCTTCCTGGGAACTTGTGGCAAAACTTCCTCCTCTGTCCCAGTTCCAAGAAAAGACTGCAGATGAAGCAGGGGAAACGAGAGTGTGTGTCACAGGGACCCTGGTCTTTGGAACTCTTCAGAGAATCGAGGCGGGTCCTGAGCCCACAGGGCCTCAGATGTCTGAACTTGGAGCTGGGCTGGGGGCCCAAAGCTGGGAGCTAGGTCCCAGCTAAGACCGCAATATAGCCGAAGGACAGGAGTTCTGGAACCTCAGCAAACCTT